TTTCTCTTATTTGATCTATTTATAGGTGCAATGAACTCATAAGGTTCAATTATATTTATAGTAAGTTTTCATAAGTTTTCACAGGTTTTCATAAGTCTTCATAGTAAGTTTTCATAAGTTTTCATAAGTTTTCATAAGTTTTTCATAAGTTTTCATAAGTTTTCAAAAGTTAATCTTTTTTATCAAGCCAAAAATCTAAAAAGAATGTATTCCCAATCAAGTTACTGATAATGAGCTTTGACTTCTTTTTGTTAATGTTTTAAATATTTAATTTCACATTCATATAACTGAACAGGGTAGCGATTAGATAGCAAGTGGGCAGGTGTTTATGCATAGACTTATATTGTTCTTAGTACAGGTGTTTATGCATACACGTATTCTTAGTAGTATGATAATATTTATAGATTTTTTTTTTTTACTATAGAAGTATATTTGATAAAGAGAGTTAAAAAAGTTTTTAAAAAAAGAATGTCATTCCTTCAAATACCTAAATTTTTAAATAGTTTTTCGAAGTTTGTTCAAAAATTTGTTTTAATTAGAATAATTTATAATAATTAGAATAATTTACAACAATTATCAACTGGAGAGCAATTACAACATCGTATTTAAGTTTAGTACTTTTAGAGATTTTTCAAAAATGAACTTTTTTAAATCTGCATCAAAACATTTTAACTTGTCTATTCAGCAACATTCATACTTTTGGCTTAGAGATCGTCCATAAATTACGTCACGCAAACTTTCACAATAAACAAAACTTAATTTAAATAAAAAATCAAAGTAGCCCATTTGCTTTAATAAAAATCGCGCGTTAAAGAGCTTAATATCTCCTACTTCTGTTTTTTTTAAATATTTTGCGTTGCGTATTTTTAGACGATCCATATCAATAGAATTCATAAATAATTACAATCTTCAATAACTATAAAATGTTTAAAAAAATAAAAAATAATAAAAAAAATACACCGCAGGTTTTACGTCATTGAAAAATTTCATATCGGTAAATAAATTATTTATAATGAAAGTTAATTTCAAAACATAATCTATATGTCTTGGCATTTTCTATATCACATTTTTTATCTAAAAATCTACGTTAAAAGTTTAATAATAACTTAGCATATTTAAAAAATTTAAATCAGTCAATTTTCGAATACTACTTATTCCGTAATAGGCGCAACCGTCGGACCTCTAAAGAGTTTCCGAACTTTACTTCTTACTGTTTGACGAAATTCTTTATACATGATGCAATATATAATGGGATTAAGAATTGTAGACGATTTAGCAAACAAAGCACTGTAGGTTAAAATGCCGACAGGCAACTCACGCCCAAGAATTAGATAGCAAACACATATTGTATAGGGGGTCCAAATTAAGAAGAATGACGTTATAATAAGACTGACAGACAGAAAATTTTGTCTTTCTAATTTATATGTGGCTCTTGTGATGGCGGCATCCTCTCCAGAGATTTGTTTGCACAATTTTAGCATGTTGCGAAGTTCAAAATGTACTTTTGTGATGCAATAAATGATGATTGCCGCAGGTAAAAAATAGCAAAATAAGGTCAGAGCATACAGATAACTACGTTTCAATAAGTCATCTGGATACATGTTTATTGTGCAACGGTGAGTGTCTTCTTTTTCGCGCACGATTTCACTCCATCCGATTAGAGGAGTTATTGACCAAAACAGACCATAAATCCAACTTGGTATAATAAAATATAATGCGCAAGTTTTTGTATCTGTAAAAAATTTCTGAACTTTCATAGGATGTACTATAACTAAATACCGATGTACACATAAAAAAACCAAATGAGTAAGTGCAGTCAAAGCCAGATACATTACAATAAAACCATTAGTTTTACATAAATACTCATTTTGAGACGGGCTGTCTATATTAGCATAACCATATAGTTCAACAGGATAGCCTAAAGTACATTCCACACCATCACATATAGCAAGACTCATTATGATTATATCACGCATATCTTTTGTGTTTTTCTTTGAAATTATTGTGACGACGACAGTAACGTTTAATGAGACAGATAGCCCACATAAAAAAGACAGCAGTCCAATCACAGGAGCAGCCATTAACAATGTTATTCAATACAAACAAAAAATATCTAAACAAAGTTGACAAAAGATCACATTTTGATATTTCTAAGTAAAATAAATCTACATTTTTTATACATATACAAATATATATATGGGTAAACTAATTCGTATTTAATTTATTAAATTTGATAAAAAGCCGTGTGTGTTATTTTTTTTTAATTAAAGTTCATTTATAAAAAACCTTTTTTTTTTTTTTTTTTTACAGCGTATAAAAAATTGGTACAATTTTTTTTCTTTCATATATAGCGAAACTATTGGCAAGATAGTGGAACTATCGGCAAGATGGTAAATAGGGCAAGTTGGCTTGTTTTATTCAATAGCAATAACCTTTTAGTCGATAACAAAACTAAAAAAAAAAAAGATAAAACAAAACTAATTTAAAATACTAATTGGTTTTTCAGACCATAGTTAACGTGAATTTATACTTTTAATTTTTACTTTTAAAAATATATATCAATGTATGGTAATTCTAATAGGTGGTACGCTAGGGGTAACACTGTTTTAAGGTATGGTTTTTTTTAACATGGGATTATTTTGAGATACATTAATTAAAATAGTTGATGATTTTCAAAATTTTATAAGTTTGGTATCAGAAAACGGATCTTGCCCAATCACGTTATCAACCACGAACGTTTTTATTTTAAAGTTTTAAATAAATCATATCTATAAAACAAACATACTGAAAAGTGTTATCAATTTGTAACTGGCGATTTTTTAAAAAACTAAGGATTTTCAAACCGCTTGTCATATTGCCATTTATTTCCATTTTTATAATTTTCGATTTTTTAGATTATTTAAAAGTGCCGGGGCTAAAACGAAACCCAGATTTTATTAACGAGTTCTTATCGTATTATATGCGCGAATGCGCAAATCAAAACGTAACACGAAGATAAGCTGACAGGGCGTTGACGGAATATAGCACCATTATTTTTACAAATATTTTTCCTGCTAACACAAAAGAAAATTGATAATGTAATAATCAAATATATAAATATAATAATACAAATTAACACTTAAAAAAACACCTTTTGAATATATTTGTTCCATTAAAATGGACTAAATTGAGTTATCGTTTTTATAATTGTGCTACGCTCTGAAACGTACTGTTCTAAACTATAGTTAATACGATTACAAATTAACATTTATTTTTTAAAAAAAGACTCGTTTTTAAGCACCGTGTTTTTACGTGTTTCAAAATTGCTTTTTTCAAATATATATGTGTATATATATTTAACAAAGTTTTAGTTATTTACATTTATTTTACTATTTATATAGACATATAGACACTTACCACAGAAATTCAACAGTTTCTTCAAAAGTTGTGTAATTTATTAAGTAATGCTCAAACTCGGTCAAATCGTTATTTTAATTATGTTTAAGATTTTGCTGTCGCAAAGTATAAATTTAAACAGTTAAAAAAATTCCTTCCGCGAACTTCTCTAACTCAGCAAATGGTTGATTATATTTGTCGATAGCTTTTTAATAAAAGAATTATAAACTGTCCTTTTTGCGGGACAGATATGTGAATAAAGAATAAATACAATGATGGATCTTTTGATCTTTTTGGTGAATTTTTGCTAATATAATTGTGATGGATTGCGGTTCATTATTATATTTTATTTGTATTTTTTAGTGTCAATAAGTTTTGAAAAACGTTTGAACTTATCTGATAAAACAAAAATAAACGATGAAAATACAATTTTTGAATAATAATAATATTATAGAATATCAGTAAATAGCTATGTACAATAAAAGGCTGGGAAGTTCTAAAATCAAATAGCGCAAAGACAAAGTTTAAAGAAAACAAGGAAACAATTTAAAGACAAATTCTTTTAAAAATGTTATGAAAAGTTTTATGAAGAGAAGTTATGTTATGAAAATTTTTTAGGTCAAAAGTTTGTCAACAACAATATTATATCTAATAAAATGTTTAAAAAGTGGAAGTGGGTAAGGAAAAATGTGCAGAAGCGATTCTAGGAATAAAATAAATAGAAGAAGGAAGGGGGAGGGGCGGTGCGAGACTTTATAAAGCAGCAATATTTTCTTAAAATAAATAACTAAAAATCACCTGATATAAATTGTCAAATACCCGACTAGCCGACTATATTCCTCAAAACCGACTGTAACTTGGAATTTACTTTCTACTGTGGGTAACTCATGCTACCCGTAGAATCACCCCTGGCATTGTGCGCTAAAACTTTAGTAAATCTATATACATAACTTTTATACTATTTTTCCTTTCTCATTGGCCAATTTATAAAACTTATTAACTTTTTAACTTTTACACTATTTTTAATTTCTTATTTTCCAAATTAAAGGAAAAATTTTCTTTACTAATAAAGACTTAATCATAATTATTATAGCGATTTTAACAAAAGAAAGTTTTTTTATCTTTGCAATTATTTGCAAAAAAACATTTCTTTCAATTCATCTCTTGAATCTAATGACAACACTCTTTTCTTACGTTACAGATAAACAGGTTAATCCAGTGTAAGTAATCCGGTTTTCGTTGCTAGATTCATTTCTAAAATCTTAACCAGTGAGGTCAGTGAGACACAACAGTTGTTACAGTCTTGAAAAAGTGTTACTCTCTAAGCTATATTTTTTTCTCTTTTTTAGGTGCCCCAAGAAGTTCTTACGGTCTTATGACGGAGCACCGCGGAAGAGCATTTAATAGGAAGTTCACGCCTTCTTCCCAACCGATGTCGCAAAACTTGCCCAGAGTTGGGGTTCGAACCACGGACCCTTTGTTTCTAAGGCAAGTGCTTTTGTTTCTAAGGCAAGTGCACTACCATTGCGCCACGAATTCTCAAAAAATTTGATTTAAAAAGTGTTTATCTAATTACTTCTCTCCTACTTTCTGGAATGAAATGTGTGGTTCTAATAAATAAATTAAAATGGGATATTGCTATGACCCTATTGTTAATGATCTGATAATGAACTGTATACTCCTGCTTTGATAAAGAGGAATCATTTTTTGATTGTTTAAAACAGACAGCTTATATTGAATGTAACCTCTTTCTGTAAGAGCTTAGAGCGCTTTTGAACTTTAATGCAAACCTCTGTTGTTTACTGATAAAGTATTTTCTAATAATATTGATATTGCAATAATTATGAATAAAAACACTCCTTTACTTTTTATGGATTATTTTCACTATTTAACTTACTTTTAAATCAATTCAGTGCGAAATCGGCTAGCGACTAACTAGCGATATTCGAAACGATAAAGATAGCAATTTGGCCAAGAAGATCATTAGCTAGAAAAGGTAGCAATTAATTAGAAGAAGTAAGAAACTTATTTTTATATATTACTTGCAATATATACATAGTGTTATCGCAATAAGTAGCTTAGTCACATAGTAGCTGTAGAATTGTCGTTATGTAGTAACTAGCGACAAAGATACAATACGTAGCTATCGATATATCGTAACGACATTGTTATCTTAAAAGCTACGATATGTAGCTATCAAATAGCTACAAAATTTTTGTTATATTATAGCTAGCAAGATTGCTACAATAAGTAGCTAATCTATTGTAAAAATATCAATAGCTACAAAGCTGCGATATTTAGATAGCGGCATGTCGTATTATGATCGCAATGTTATCAGTACACTTAATGTCACTTAATGTATTGGATCCAATACTAAAAATCTATTTTTTTACTACGTAACCCTCGGGCATTTGTTTTTGTAAATATGTTCTATATGTCTTTAGAACATTAAGAATGTTTAAAAGACGTTTAAAAGACATTAAGAACGAAACTTAAAAAAGTGTCTATTGGGAAGAGACAAAATAAAAAATTAATACGAGAAAAAAAAATCGTTCAAAAATTGAAATAGAGCAAGCTATTAACTAACTAGTCACCAGGTCCGAATCTGGTGTAGTCACCAGCTATTAACTAACTAGTCACTAGGTCCAAACCTGCTGACTAGCTAGCTAATAGCTAGCTCTATTTAAACTTTTGAGCGAATTTTTTTAGTTTTAGCTACCTAACTTAATCTTTTGTAATATTGTCGTCAGGAAGCAGTTTTTTTTTTTTTATAAATAGTAGTATAGTGCACAAAAGTGCAATTGCCAATTTTTCTACATGATTTTTTGCCTCAAACATCAATTGATTGGAACTCTTTTTTTTTTCCCCGTTTTCCGACATATAGAAATTTACAGTTTACGATTTTTTATGTTTGTATTTATATTACTATTTATTATCTTTCAACGGCTTCTATGCTCTTTACTTTTTTGTAACTCTAAATTAAAATAGTGGCTTTCTGCAACCTTGTTAAAAGTGAAATTTTTAAAAAGTGCAACATTTAAAATTTATATACAACATTTATACACTATTTATGAAATATATGTATCACAAACAACGTTTATATATAAACAGCATTTATACATTTAATGAATAAAATTCATATTAGATACAAAGGTTAGTAAAATTTGTTGCAAAACAGCTGGTATATTGGAAAACAATATAATTTGTTTTAATACTACAATTATTCACAATTATTAATGAGAGGAAAAAAATTGAAAAAAGGCTTTTAGGCAAAAACATTTTGGGCGTTTATAGACGTTTATATCCAATTAGGGTTTCCAATCCGGATATACAAATACCTGATTATCCGGATAATTCGCCTACTTTTGACTATTTGAAAATCCGGATAATTTCTTTAGAATATTTAAGAATCTGCATACTTTTTAATGACTCAAAATATTGTTTTTTTTTCGCTCAAAAGGGGGAAAACTCCCTATTCTATAGCAGATTTTCAGCGGAACTATTTACATATTTTAGGCGGTTCACTGTAGTTTTACTCATCGGTTACTTAGTGGACCATTTTTGGGAGTCATTGTTGTTATATCATTGTTGTTATATCATTGTTGGAAACCTATCAGCCAGCCACATATAGCGGATGCCACTAATGATCTACTAAGTAATCGATTAGCAAACATTTTCTGCAAACTAAAAAAACAAACATTAAAGTCATTTTTCTATTAATTTTTATATTAATCTTATTGAAGATTTTCAAGATGTTATAAAAAACCTAAAAAGAATTATAAAAAGCATTCATCAGTCAAAAACAAAATTTTACAAGAATATGTTAATGAAGAAGCAGGCAAGACATTGCAGTTGATCTTAGTGTCAAAACTCGGTGGATATCATTAAAACTCGGTGGATATCATTAAAACTCGGTGGCTATCATTAAAACTCGGTGAATATCATTAAAACTCGGTGGATATCATTAAATCTCGGTGGATATCATTAAAACTCGGTGGATATCATTAAAACTCGGTGGATATCATTAAAACTCGGTGGATATCATTAAAACTCGGTGGATATCATTAAAACTCGGTGGATATCATTAAAACTCGGTGGATATCATTAAAGCTCGGTGGATATCATTAAAAACTAGACCTAAGCAAAAAAAATTAAGACCTTCTAGTTAAACCAGTTGAACCAGTTAAACCAGTTAAACCAATTAAACCAGTTAAACCAGTTAGGTTTAACTAAGATTTTAGTATTGTCAAACTTAAAAATTATTTTTTCAACTTTTTGATTTTTTCAAACTTTTTAATTTGTTTTTTTTAAACTTTTTTTAATTTCATTCTTTTATATATTATTGGAAATTGTAAAAAAATTTTATTTTTTTTATTTTCACGAAGGGGCTTGATGATAAGACATTTTGTCTTCTACTTGCTCCAGTCAGCTTGCATTTGTATAAATTTATTTGAATGTAAGGTTAAGATTGTAAAATGTATCAAATGACGAAAAATAAAAAATTAAAAAAAAAAGATAAAAATTAGAACTCGCTAACCTTAATCTTTCAATAATCTTTCCGATAATTTTTCAAAATATTTAAAAATGAATTAAATTTAAATAGTATAATTGTTTTATAATTTTTTAGATTTGGATTTTTAATGTATATAACTAAAACAGGTAAGTCAAATTTAATTATTACTTTAAAAACACCATGAGTATGAAGTTCAATCTACTATCTTTATTTTTTTTAAATTGGTATCCGGATATCCGGATATATCCGAAGAATTTGAACTTTGAGTATTCGATATCCGAATAGTCATTAATGTCAGATAATTGGAAACCCTTTATACAATAATATACAGTTTTTAATTTCAAAGTAACAGTTTTTACTCGTTTTTTATTCAAAAATTTATCTTCTTCAAAACAATAATAAACTAATTTTGTTAAATTATTAAGTAATAAAATAAATAAGTATTATAGTAGTAGCTTAGTTTATCTTTAAAACAGAAACTGACGAAATATAATGACGGTGGAGTATATTTACCCTTATAATATATTTTTCTTTTCCCTTACATATGTAGATATGTGTGAGTTAATAGATAATTTTACGTTTTCAGATAATATAGATTGATGTGCAATGTCTTTTGTTATTTCTGTTAATATGAAGTTCTAACTCACTTTTATTGCAGTTTGATTTAAACAATTTTAGGTCAAAAT